ATGCAACTTTTTCATCGATACAAGATCGAGTTTCACTTAGAAACAAATTCTCTTTCTATTTCAAATCTATTTCAACATCCAACAATTATTCATCATGCTCAACACATTCATCAAACTATGAATGTGACAAAAAATATCCATGACTACCATTGGTCTTCATTACATATCATAAAAGGTAACATAGAATGTTTAAGAATATTCTATTGACTATATTCTATTTCTTTCTTGTAGCTAAAGCATCATTTGCTCAAGAACGTATTTTCTTAGATGAACAAATTCGTTTCTCATCAACAGGTAATAATACTAACATGTACGTTATTCCATTAATTTATCGAATTTCATCTATGAATGATCATATCTCTATCTCACAATTACAACGTGCATTTCAATCTATTATTTCTAAACACCAAATTCTTCGAACAGCACTCTATCTTGATATAAATGGTACTATTGTACAACATTGTTTAGATACAAACAATATTATTCATGATAAAAAATCATCCAGATTTTCAATAATTAATCTTCTTGATCAAGAACATGAACAGAATGAAATAGTGAAGATTTTAAATCAATCTGATTTATTTGATTTATCAAAAGGACATATTGTTAATTGTCATATTCTTCGTCGTAATCAATCAAATCATCCACTCACTCACAATAATGATGATCTATTGACTAAAGATGATCTTATATTATTTACCATTCATCATGCTTTTTTTGATGGAGCATCAGTATCAATCTTTATTCGTGATCTTGCTGTCGCTTATCAATCTAACGATTTGCTTCCTATCGATGACAATTCATTACAATATATAGATTATTCTATTCATGAACACATAATGGATATGACATTATCTCAAGAATTTTGGTTGTTAGAACTCAAAGGATACAATCTCCTTCGACAATTATCATTACCTGCTGATCGACATCGTGCATCAACTAATCAACAACGATCAGGTTTAGCTTCTACAGCTGAAATCATTTTTGATAATGAATTATGCACATCATTCCTCAACTATGCATCGTCACATCATCTCACACTTTTTCAACTTGGACTAGCCATATTTTATGTTTTCCTATTCAAGATAACTCATGGTGAGACTGATTTATGTGTTGGTTCTATTAATGCTAATCGATATCGAAGTGAATTAGTGAATATGATCGGAATGTTTGTGTCAACATTACCATTTCGTGTGGAACTTGATCCTCATTGGTTATTTGATGAAGTTGTTAAATATGTACGAGAAAAATGCTTGTCAATTCTGGAACATTCTCATTATCCTTTGCAACATATTCTTGATGATAATCGATTAAACCAATCAAGTATATCGTTTCTTGAGACAATGTTTGATTTTATCACTGTGTCAAAAGATGTGGGACATTTATGTTTGA